TGGACGTGGTGGACGTGCACCGATAGGGGTGGGGGCGCAGTGGGCCCGGGGCCCCTGGCGGTCACACGCGCAGCTTCCTCTCGCGCGGGACACGCGCCCCGCGTCCTTGCGCGAGCAGCACACGGCCGCCTTTGTCTCCCGCCCTCCCCCCTCTCGACATAGCTCGTATTTGTATTGCAGTCGCAGGGCGCTCGTGGGTAGAAGCTGGCCATTGTGAACCCCTTGGGTTCAGCATGAACCGGCCTGAGGGCCGAGCTTACTTCTGCGTGGCGGTCGACGTGAGCGTGGTCGCCAGGCGCGTCGTGGGGACGGCCGGGCGAAGGGGACTCAGGGCCCTGAGCTGCGTGGGTACCGGGACAGGAGGAGTGGTGGGACGGGAGGAGTGGTGGGACGGGAGGAGTGGTGGGACGGGAGGAGTGGTGGGACGGGAGGAGTCGTGGGACGGGAGGAGTCGTGGGACAGAGGGAGTGGTGGGACAGAGGGAGTGGTGGGACAGGAGGAGTCGTGGGACAGGAGGAGTCGTGGGACAGAGGGAGTGGTGGGACAGAGGGAGTGGTGGGACAGGAGGAGTCGTGGGACAGGAGGAGTCGCCGTGAACCTTGCGCGAGCCCAGAGGCCGCGGCACCGCGCACGGAGGCGACCTTGAGCCGCGTCACATCCGGGGCGGTGCCGCCCGGACCCGGCGGCTGCCGCTGCCAATCAGAGACCCGGGCCCCCCCTCCCCCCTCCCCCCCCGTGCGTGGCGCTCTGGGGGGGCCCGGCTCTGAGCGAGCCCCCCCCCCCCCGTTCAGGCTGCCGCTGCCAATCAGAGACCCGGGCCCCCCCCTCCCTCACACATGGACACGTTTAATCAACCACTGTCGTCTGCGTGCGTATTGTCGGTAGCTATGGTCAATCCACTGCTGGATGAAATCATCCCCAAGTCGACATCCGCGATACAACAATCATCGCTCCGTCTCCCGGGCGCCTGTCCACAATGCCTGCCACTCCGTAGTCCGCGTGCATCTCCTTCGCACCGTACATAGCCACGCGTGTTAATCAGAGGTGTTACTGAAACGTAATTCCAAGCATAAACATGAACTGCCCATATAGGACTCACCACTGTGATATCTACATTGGGTCAAACTTAACATCTCTTAATGTTCGACGGATTGTGCACCAGGTCTTATTTATTCACGATATACTTACAAAAAAATCCGCAGACTACCGGCTGGATCTCCTCTCTGTTTCAAAGAAGAAATTTGGCCTCAGGTCTTCGCTCATTTACCAGCTTCACATTCCCTATTGCCGTACAAAAACTGGAGGAAGGGCCTTTGCTATTGATGCCCCCAGGGTCTGAAATGCTATTGCCAATAAACTGCAACTTGAATCGCTACCAATGAGATCTTCTCTCAAAACTGCTCTAGAGGAGTTGTACACCCCTAGCTGCCACTGCTATTCAGTGGCCTAAAATAAATTAAAATGTTTCGCTCCGGATGACGCTGCAAAGTATTATCTGTATTTTGATTTTGTGTGCTGATCTTTAAGGTGCATTGAAAAATTTGATACTCCGACTGATGCTTCTGTTGTTGTGGAGTAACTCATGCAGCCAGCTATGGCTCTAGGATTTGGTGTTACATGTTATTTATGTAGTTTATTGTAAAAATTCGGTCACAGTCCCTGTGATCACTGTTACGTTGCAATTATGGCTTTATTTTTTTGGTGATTTCGAAAACTTTTTTGGTTTGGACATGTTTGTTTTGTTGTAGTATGGAGTTAGACTGATGGCCTTAATCTAAGTTTTCTTGTTGTTGTTTGACTTGCATCCCACTGGGATTTTTTGCACCCAGCGTTGGTGTACGGTGCTTTTTTCAGGAATATTTTGCTGTTTTTTTCATGGATTTTCTGTTTGCACAGTCACAAAGTAACTTTAAGATGTTTTTCTTGTTCGTGTTTTTGTTTGTTGTGGTTGCACCCGATTCCAGACCCGAATGGCTCACAGGGCTATACCGAAATAAATCAACTGAAACTGAAACTCTCCGGCTTCTTTGCAGTCTTTGTTTTCCATGTGTTCATGTAAGTTACAATATATATTACATTACTAAACATTTTAGAAATTAACCAAGGGGCCGTCCATAAATGACGTCACGCGATTTTGAAAAATTTTTGACCCCCTCCCCTCGTCACACGGTGTCACAAAAAATCAGACCCCCCTCAAATATGACGTCACGAAGCTCTGCCCCCCCCCCCCCAAACCATATTTCCATTTTGAAAATAAAACATGCTTCAAATCGCTTTACACTATTGTCATTGGCGCTGCACTCTAATGTTGTAGGAGAAAACATTTATTTAAAAGTCTTTTTAATTAAGTTGAACGTGTTGTCTGTATTTAAAGTTGCGCATTTTGATGTGACGTCACATTTCTCAAACTCCCCCCCCCCCTCATATTCTTGGTTCTTTCGGTAAAGTCACGTAGAAGGGAAACAATAAAATAATAAAACACTAAAATTCTCACGACGTTTCGACTGCAACACAAGCAATCATCATCAGGTGTGAAAAACCACAGCAAGAAAATTTGAAAAAAGTGGCGTTTTTATTTGAAACTTTAGCACCATGTAGAGCGATTTGACAGTTTGTTGAGATGGACGAGTCCATCTATGTTCGGAAAAGAGGAGGGGGGAGACGAAAAATAATGGATGCGGTCTGAAAACCACCTTAAGCGTGATCAATCAATTAAGACCCGAAATGGTTTATCAAATCCATCCAATGATTGCTAAGCCAGAATCCATCTTCTCGATTGAAATTGTCTCTGAGTTTGTATATGTGGATATCCTCATGAACGAATCTCTCATGGTAGCCAGATGGCTTACAAAGAACCTCTGTCTTGGAGAAGTCAATGTCATGTGAGCCTACTGAATTATAACAGTGATCTGCCACGGCCAAGGTGTTGGTCCTACCGCGTTTTAGGTCTGCTTTGTGTTCACGAATGCGGTCCGAGACATGTCGTTTGGTTTCTCCAATGTAACTACACTGAGGTACCCCCCCTGGTGAGACACTGCTTAACCAATACATACTTCACTTGGAATGGAACTTTCTACAAACAAACTGAGGGCACCCCAATGGGCTCTCCCCTATCTCCGGTTATAGCTAACATTTTCATGGAGAAATTTGAGACTGACGCCATCCAGACTGACACTCTGCGCCCAACCTTATGGAAGAGGTACGTGGATGACACTTTTGTCATCTGGCCACATGGCCGGCCTGCTCTAGACCAATTCTTCGACCACATCAATTTCATACACCCAGCCATCAGATTTACCATGGAAGTCGAAAAAGATGGCAAGCTACCTTTTTTGGATGTCCTAATAAAAAAGAGACCTGATGGTTCAATGAGCCACTCTGTCTACAGGAAAGATACCCATACGGATGCTTACCTGAAACCGGATTCCCACCACCATCCATCCCAGAAGAATTCCCTCATCAAGACTCTGCACCATAGAGCCCAATGCATATCCGACCAGGAACACATAGCCAGTGAACTCAAGCACGTACACCAAGCTCTTAAGGCTAATGGTTATTCCGACTACACAATCCGTAAAACTATCGCTCCAACCATGAAGAAGGACCCTCTTGAGGAGCCTTTCAAAACCATCACTTTACCCTACATTACGGGGATCACAAAAAAGACCTCCAAAATTTTGAACAAACACAAGATCCAGGTCCGATTCAACACATTACATAAAATCCGTGATCTGGTTCCGTCTGTAAAAGATGTGATTCCGGACATACAGTACCCTGGCGTCTACAAACCAAGTTGCCTCTGTGGTAGTAGTTACATTGGAGAAACCAAACGACATGTCTCGGACCGCATTCGTGAACACAAAGCAGACCTAAAACACGGTAGGACCAACACCTCGGCCGTGGCAGATCATTGTTATAATTCAGTAGGCTCACATGACATTGACTTCTCCAAGACAGAGTTTCTTTGTAAGCCATCTGGCTACCATGAGAGATTCGTTCATGAGGCTATCCACATATACAAGCACAGAGACAATTTCAATCGAGAAGATGGATTCTGGCTTAGCAATCATTGGAAGGATTTGATAAACCATTTCGGGTCTTAATTGATTGATCACGCTTAAGGTGGTTTTCAGACCGCATCCATTATTTTTCGTCTCCCCCCTCTTTTCCGAACATAGATGGACTCGTCCATCTGAACAAACTGTCAAATCGCTCTCCGTTGTGCTAACGTTTAAAAAAACCGCCACTTTTTTCAATTTTTATTCCTGTGGTTTTTCACACCTGATGATGATTGCTTGTGTTGCAGTCGAAACGTCGTGAGAATTTAATTGTTTTATATTTTTATTATTTTATTGTTTCCTTTCTACGTGACTTAACCGAAGAACCAAGAATATGAATCACTGCAGTCACGAAAGCTTTAAATCAAAATTCCCCCCCTCGTCACACACGTCACAAATGTCTGACCCCCCCCCCACCCCAGGTGCGTGACGTCATTTATGGACGGCCCCCAATCGCATCTGTTGACGTTTTAACATTCGCATGAAATGTCATAAATTGTATATAATCTAAAAGCTTCGAATCCTGGCAGGAGATTCAATCCGTCGGGCGCGGCTGTAACGAGGCACGGCGCACGGTAAAGGCGCAGCCCTGCAATGACTGCTCACACCACCGCTCGCGGAAAGAGAAACTCAGATCGTGGACTCTCGAGGGTCTGTGTAGGGAGCGCCCGAACTTTACCTCACCACGCGAGACTGCGATCGACTGTGGTGGACTCCCGGGTAGGACGCCTACGAGGGCAGCTTGGTGAACCTGCCCATTGTTTCACTCACCGCCCCGGGATATCTTCCCGGCGACCTCTACGAACGAACTCGGTGTCATTTCGATTTGACTTGCGCCTCAGCTGGGCCATCTGTGCCACTCTTGTACAGAGTGAGCGTGCGTCCATCACAGGCTCCAGGACACGCGTCATCGTCACGGTGAAACAGACAAAGTTCGCTCGGTTTCGAGTTGTTCACCCATCGGTGGCGTTTATTCACACGGTCACAAACCACGCCATTTAATTGATAACTATATACCTTCTATGAGTTGTATAAATCCATTACTGTATTGACGTATATTGATAATTCAGCCCCGCAGCTGAGTGAATGGGTAGACTAAGGTCGCTAGCCAGACATCACCTACGTTTCTGCACACACAACATCATAATAATATAACCACTGAGAGGCGTTGTGGAGAATGTTAATACGCGAGAAAGAATGCCTTTAGACTTTAATCAGTTACGTTTAAGCAAACACTGGGCCAATTGGGTAGATTGGGTATCATCAGCGGAGTGGGGCTTCCAGCAGCCGCCTGCAGGTAGCGCTGTAGCACAGGTGAGTGACGGTGCCTGACGGGCATGGAGCATCCGGGGGGCTCCCCACTCTCAACAACTTCGCGTGCCGCGTCCTCGAGACCGTAACACGATTCGGAAAGTAAGACGCACCCCACATTTTGGCCTGGCGTCAATGAACTTAAACAAATCTGGTCTCGCACACGCAACACACACAGTGGATTATAAGACGCAACCCCAACTTTTACTTTGAAATGCAGGGAAAGAAAGTGCGTCGTATAATCCGGTAAGCAAGTAACTGGTGGTAGTGATGTGAAGGCTCCGAATTGGAATGGCGAAAAAGCGAATCGGTTGCCTGCCGGGGACCCACGCACTCCCCCACCCCGCGTGCTGCGCGACGTTCCCTGGACTCTGTTGTTCCACTTCTTTGGGTCTTTCGGTAAAGCCACGTAGATAGAAAAAAATCATCAAAATAATAACAATTTAAGGACGTTCCGATCGCAACGCAAGCAATCGCCTTCTGTTGTTTCTTTGAGCCGGATCGGATGAGCCGCTCTGTGGTCGCTAGCGATGAGCGGCTGTCAAGTAGCAGGTCGCTACTTGCACGGCCCTTTCTTGCCGCCGATTGTCACGATGTTGGTGTAGACGTTTTTGTCGTCTTCGCGAAAATCTGAAATGGAGAGAAGTACGTAGGTTGAACTTCTATCGCGCCGTACGTCGCCAACCGTGCTGATCGGCGGTGCGAGAAGATCGTTAACAGTGCTCCCTGCGCAGATGACGATGGCAACCGCTCATGCGAGAGTTCTCCAGGGCAGACTTAACATCTGCCAGAAAAAAAATCTTGCTAAAAACTCATTTGCATTCGTATCTGCAAATCGGTGTCTGATTGGAAATGAAGATGCATACAAAACTGTGCAACTCATTATCTGCTTGTCCTCTAGATGGCCGCTTTGCCGACTTGGGCGCGTTGCAATTGGGGGACTCACACTGATATATAACGATGACCTTGCTGTCGTAGAATCTTTTGTTTCAATCGGCTGGTGTACTGCAGCTCGCCACGAGAAAAAATAAACATTCACTGACAGCCAACGTTCAGCTGAACGGTGCTTGAATGTGCTCAACACAGAGTAAATGTATCGTTTAATTGAAGCTGCTAAGGAGCACTCTTAGGTACGCACCGCTCTGCGTACGTAGCAAGTCCCAGAGTGGCACGTCGGTGTTGAGCGCTCCAAAACCCTCAAGCTGCCTTTGGAGATTAATTTATTGTTCAACGTGTGTGATGAGCGGCTTTGAAATGGCACGTGGCGACCACATTGGCACCACCATCTGCTACGCTGCTGCCCAATGGCAGCACTACGGAGCGTTGGGGCAGCGCCCCACCTATTATTTCAAATATATACTTCTATAATTTAATATAAGAAAAATAAAAGTTAATAAAAGTTCGTTTATAATAAGTGGCTAATTTTAGTTCTCATTTTTGGAGGGCATTTCGAATCACTTCGGTTAGGATCTACGAGGAAATGCGAGATGTTGATGTAACATTATGAAAAACTATTCTTACGGGAGAAAATGAAATTGTATTTAATGACCTGCTGACAGAACCGAGTACAAAAGAATCGACATTTGGGAGCCCGGTTTGTCCGCTCCAATGAGATGTATATTCAGCAATCTTATTGGCCGAATCAATTTACTCCCACTTAGTGCTGCCACCGCTTGAAGAAAATGAAGCAGAAAGGGCCCAAGTAATTCTGCCCCTGGCCAATGACAAGCCGCCATTGCAAAGCCATCTTCACAAGGACAGTCACCCCAGCGCCTCGTCATCACGACGCCGGCATTGTCCCACCGCATACTTGGGTCCACAGCGGCCACCGCTCCTGTTGAACTACTCCACCTCACCTTCTTGTGCTCTGCTGGCCGCTTCTTGGGCAATAATGAACTCCATCGTTTCCGACGGCAGGCCAATGTCGCTGTAACTGTCGTCACTGTCCCTAGATGCTTCTGCAAAAAACAAAATTCACCTAACAATAGTCATGCGAGGAAGGCCTAGCGCAGCGGGCAGCGTACTGCACTGCGGACCCGCGTGTCGCGGGTTGACTTGCGGTCCCGGCTAACATTGGTGGCGACTCATATTCCAACGGGTTCGTAGTGCAGTGGGCTAACCAATGCCCCACACACACACTGGAACTCATTTACAATTAACAGCGCAGTGTAATTGAGCGATGTTATAATGTGTGAAGGTGACCCTGATGTCCAAGATCAAGACCGGAATTAGACTCGACAGGATTGTGTTGCTGTTTGTATAGATTATGTCTTCAGATACAAGTCCAAGTGGTAAAGGTGCTACCCTGCAATTGATTTCTCATTACACTACCGGCAGAAGTTCCTCCGCACTGCGAATGCTCCTGCTGTAACTTGGGTGGTGTGTGTCGGTGTGGCGTCTTTACCTGACTGAGAGGGCTCCGCCTCCACATAGACATCTTCGTAGTCGTCATCATCATCGCTGCCCGAGGCGGCTGGTATAAAACAAACCCGTGTCATCGTTTATTTAAAGTTTATTAAAATAATTCTCCTGAAATATTCAGCATGCCCACATTCATAAGCTGATGACAACGTGCAGGTTTAAATTGATGGGAATAACACTACTTTTACAGGCTGAAATATGAAATCGCTCTGCAATATTTATAAAACAATGACAAATGGCGACGCTCGGGGAATGATGAAGACCGTGCAGAAGTTTCAGAATGCTAATTCGCGTCGGTGAAACGGCCGTACCTCTCCCCATGTCTTCCCCTGCCGTGGTCTGGATTTTCAGGCTGCCTGACCGCTCAGCAACATTCGGCGTCGACAATTCCAACGGAGACGATTGGCCATCCTGGTTTGGAGAAGAAAAAAAATAAACTATATTAATGGATGGCTCATTTGGGGCACGATTGTGTGTTTGTTTTTACACTAATTCATGTTTAATCCTAACTGCCAGGTGCTAGCAGTGAGCATTTGCTCTGTTTCAGCTGAACGTTCGTGCAATAAACACGTGTCGTGATGATGTTGTACTCACGTGTGGCTAGTCTACTCAAGTTGACCCTAGTCCAACTGTAGATTACGAAGGAGTTTTAAATGTTCTCATCGCGTCACAAGATGCCTCGTGACGCCACTGTTGGCGGACGAAGCACGAACGTGACGACATCGCATCACTCGCTGCGATCTCATGGAATTGACGTCATTGCTGTGACATTTTCAGATAACACAACACCTTATATCAAGAGCTGATTTTCAGATGTGCAGATTTTTTTCGAATTCGTATCAAAATGGGGGAGGGGGGGTGTTATTCGAAATCCCGGCGTAGTCACCTTTCCTGACGTCGCTGGCCCTCTCTCCTTCGAAATGGCTTTGTCTCTGGTGAACCTCATGGGCACCGGCGGGCAGCCCTTGTTCGCCGAATTGATTCCCCTGAAGTTGCTCAGAAAATACGACGGCACCTTTTCCAGGTTCATCTGCGGCGGGGGCACAGGCCACGTGCTGCCCTTCTCCAACACTTGCACCTTCATGTGCACCCTGTTGATGGGGATCTCGAAGCAGCCGGCGGCGATCTCCCCGCTCACGATCAAGCAGGGGTCCTCGAAGTGCCCCTCCACCGTGATGGAGGAGGATGCGAGCGGATCGTCTGGCAGGAGCGGGTCGCCCGCCACCACCTTGACGTTGACGGGGATGGGGCCGTCCTCCACCACCTGCGCCAGCGACAATCGCCGTTGCTCCTTCACCACCTCCACAAAGCTGCCCTGCACGTAGAGGGGCAGGTGGACGACGGCGGCGGCGTGGGGGGCGCCCGAGGGGGCGCTCCGCAGGCACCGCAGGGTCTCCAGCTCCTCGTAACGGTCGTTGCTTTTGATGCGGAGCAACTCCCGGCCCCGGACTGTCAGCCGGTCCCCTTGCGCCAGTGAACCGAGCTCCTCGTGGTCGGCCTTGTAGTCCATCGTGGCCCGCACCTCCAGATCCTCGTCGCCTTTGGCCCACGCGGCGTCGATGTCGAACGTCGAGCAGAAGACCCGGGGACGCTTGGTCACCAGGCCGTGGTAGAACAGCGGCACGAGGAAGTTCTGCGGCGGCAGAGCGAGGCGCTCGCGCGTCACCAGAACCTTGCGGACCTCCATGGCCCGGTGGACCGTGAACTGAGCGCCGACCTCGAACTTGACCTTCGGGCAGGATGAGTAGCACCGCTGCGCCTCCAGAACAAGCACGGACAGCGGGAAGCGGTCGGCCGGGTATTTGAAGATCTCCACCAGCGTGACTGGCATGACGAATGTCTTCTGCCTGTACTCTTCGGTGACATCTCTGACCTCGACGTCCAGGTTAGATGGAACGATGACCTCTCCCATGGCATCTGATAAACAGGGTGCACAGAATAGAGGAGCGGTGCTTCGTTAGAACAAAGGTTGTGGAGCGAAACGTCGGACATCATGCTAAACGACACTCGGTGCAAACCGAGAACGCATGGGAGAGAGATGCAGCATGATCGTGGCTGTTTCTTGATGCGCCCCTGCCGTTTCCACAAGGGTTCATTAGGTTGATAAATTCTCCCTCTCGTGTGTTCATTGTCAATCATCCTAAAGCTCGCTGCTATTCAACAAGTCCCATTCCCAGATGAGATCTGGCCTGAATGAGCGTGGCTTAGCAGCAGTAGGCAAGGAGATTAATCATTCTGATAACACTGCTCGGATAATATGAAACCTTGGCCGGGGCGTTATCATCGTCCGTCTCAAAATAAGCAGCACAAACACCGCATTGTTTATAGGTCTTTTAATTCTCCTAATAAGATTGTTTCCCCGAGTTCAGCCCTGTTAGAGACATCAGATGCTTTATTTCTCAGTGGCTTTCACCTCAAAAACTTCACTCACTGACATCCTCTACTTGCGTGGCAATACAAAAATAAAAGGTGCAGCCCTGCAATTTCTAGCTCACGCCACTGTCGATGGAAGGGCCTCCACGATATGGAAGGTACTCTCGAGGGTATTTAGGCCTACTCTTTAGTGCTGATCAGACGTCTTAGAAGAGGTAGGAGTACCCACTCTTTACCCCACCACACACGACCTGCTGATCAATGGACTGTGATTGAAGCCACGTGTACTGCTGTGTCGAGAGAGGCCGCATAGGGGGGGTCTAAGAAACCTGCACCGTTTCTTCAATAACAAATCAAACCGGCGACCACTGAACTGCAAGTCGACCGCGGCAGCACTCCTTGTCAAAGTGTTTGCTTTGGAATTGTTCCATCGTCCCCAATTTCACCCCATCTGCGCTGCTCCGCCCCAATTGCCGTGAAGCGACCGCGGCAGTGTTTGACGGCACCTCGAGACCGAGACGACGGAGAGCGGGGAACTCACCGTTGACAAAGCCCACGATGGAGCTTCTGGCCGTGAGCTTGAGCACGCCCTGGAAGCCGCTCGGCAGGTGCTGCACGCCCTGCGTGGACGTGAGCGGCCGCACCATCCGCGTGCCGTCCTGCAGCAGCCGCCAGTGGATCACCTCGAGCAACGTGTAGTGGCCGTTGTCCCGCGCCTCGTAGAAGTCGCCCTTGAAACGCAGCGGCAGCAGCAGCGTGGCCCCCGCGCCGCCGCCGCCGCGGCCCTTGCGCTCGCAGCGCCACCGGACGCACGGGGGGTCGGCGTCGTCGTCGTCGTGGTCGCGGTGCCCCCCCTCGCCGTGCCGCTCCTCCAGCGCCAGCGGCACCAGCCGCTCGCCTGCCTTGACGGTGACGTCGCCGGCGCGGATCTCCACGGAGGCGTGGAACGCCAGGTGCCAGCCGCCGCGCCGGGCCAGCTTGTAGCACTCGGCGATGTCCTCGAATGTGGCGTAAATGCGCTTGCTCGGCTGGATCTGGAAAAGGCCTGCGGTGGCCACGTCCAGTCAAAGCAAAAGCACGCGGGCACGTTGACTGGAGTTGTTGCATTTTCTCCCCTAGCTCCCAATCTCCTCCCACTCGCAGCCGTGGTTGGTGATTTACAGCGATGTAGGTTGGTGATTTACAGCGATGTTGGTGTGTGATTTACATCGATGTAGGTGTGTGATTTACATCGATGTAGGTGTGTGATTTACAGCGATGTAGGTTGGTGATTTATAGCGATGATGTTTGGTGATTTACAGCGATGTAGGTGTATGATTTACAGCGATGTAGGTGTGTGATTTACAGCGATGTATGCGTGTGATTTATAGCGATGTAGGTGTGTGATTTACAGCGATGTAGGTTAGTGATTTATAGCGATGATGGTTGGTGATTTACAGCGATGTTGGTGTGTGATTTACAGCGATGTTGGTGTGTGATTTACAGCGATGTAGGTTGGTGATTTACAGCGATGTTGGTGTGTGATTTATAGCGATGTAGGTGTATGATTTACAGCGATGTTGGTGTGTGATTTACAGCGATGTAGGTTGGTGATTTACAGCGATGTTGGTGTGTGATTTACAGCGATGTAGGTTGGTGATTTACAGCAATGTTGGTGTGTGATTTACAGCGATGTAGGTGTGTGATTTACAGCGATGTTGGTGTGTGATTTACAGCGATGTAGGTGTGTGATTTACAGCGATGTATGCGTGTGATTTACAGCGATGTAAGTTAGTGATTTATAGCGATGATGGTTGGTGATTTACAGCGATGTAGGTGTATGATTTACAGCGATGTTGGTGTGTGATTTACAGCGATGTTGGTGTATGATTTACAGCGATGTAGGTGTGTGATTTACAGCGATGTAGGTTGGTGATTTACAGCGATGTTGGTGTGTGATTTACAGCGATGTTGGTGTGTGATTTACAGCGATGTTGGTGTGTGATTTACAGCGATGTATGTGTGTGATCTATAGCGATGTTGGTGTGTGATTTACAGCGATGTAGGTGTATGATTTACAGCGATGTAGGTGTGTGATTTACAGCGATGTATGCGTGTGATTTATAGCGATGTAGGTGTGTGATTTACAGCGATGTAGGTTAGTGATTTATAGCGATGATGGTTGGTGATTTACAGCGATGTAGGTGTATGATTTACAGCGATGTTGGTGTGTGATTTACAGCGATGTAGGTTGGTGATTTACAGCGATGTTGGTGTGTGATTTACAGCGATGTAGGTGTGTGATTTACAGCGATGTTGGTGTGTGATTTACAGCGATGTAGGTTGGTGATTTACAGCGATGTTGGTGTGTGATTTACAGCGATATATGTGTGTGATCTATAGCGATGTTGGTGTGTGATTTATAGCGATGATGGTTGGTGATTTACAGCGATGTAGGTTGGTGATTTATAGCGATGATGGTTGGTGATTTACAGCGATGTAGGTTGGTGATTTACAGCGATGTAGGTTGGTGATTTACAGCGATGTTGGTGTGTGATTTACATCGATGTAGGTGTGTGATTTACAGCGATGTAGGTTGGTGATTTATAGCGATGATGGTTGGTGATTTACAGCGATGTAGGTGTATGATTTACAGCGATGTAGGTGTGTGATTTACAGCGATGATGGTGTGTGATTTATAGCGATGTAGGTTGGTGATTTACAGCGATGTTGGTGTGTGATTTACAGCGATGTAGGTGTGTGATTTACAGCGATGTTGGTGTGTGATTTACAGCAATGTAGGTTGGTGATTTACAGCGATGTTTGGTGTGTGATTTACAGCGATGTTGGTGTATGATTTACAGCGATGTAGGTTGGTGATTTACAGCGATGTTGGTGTGTGATTTACAGCGATGTATGTTAGTGATTTATAGCGATGTTGGTGTGTGATTTATAGCGATGATGGTTGGTGATTTACAGCGATGTAGGTTGGTGATTTATAGCGATGATGGTTGGTGATTTACAGCGATGTAGGTTGGTGATTTACAGCGATGTTGGTGTGTGATTTACAGCGATGTAGGTTTGGCAGAGATTGTGTATCAGTTCGCTCAGCGGTCGTGCGACGTAGGGCGTGCTGGATCTTTGCCCTTTATTTTGATTGCCGGGTACTGACCCAAAGCCCCAAAATGTGAAGCAGCCAGCAACAAACTGCGCTTTCAAAGCGTCAATGATTATCGTATTGAACAGAGAATTTAGCAAGGCTGCAAGGCCTGTTTTGCACGGCTTGCTTGGAGAACTTTAAACGTGTTTTAACAGAAGTTGTAATCCATACCTGTGTAATCGGTTGGGATTTCCATGATGATGCCGCGAGGGACGATGCACTCTTTGCCGTCCATGGCCACCACTTTCACCAGAATCTTATCGAGCTTGATCTTGGTGATCCTTATCACGTCGCCGTTGGACAGAGTGATTTCGCTGCCTCCCATGTCGTAGATGGATCCTTGGAACGGAGCACGCGGGGGAGGGGCGAGGGGAATCAGCGGCGTTTCTCTCTTGCCCTGCCGGGGCTCCCACACCCCTTCTCCACTAGCACATCCGAGCCGAGTCAGCCCGAAGACTTCACGGTCGAGCCGGAACACAACCGTGATATGATGGCCTCACGACCGTGTCTGCAGTTCGACGTTCAATAATGCAGCACTCGGATCTACCGCGGCCAAAAGTTTGCTGCGATTATTGCTTCTGACAAAGGCTGGCATGCTATTTGTAGTGTGAACAGCATTCCATACGAACTTAAGCTGGTGCTCGCAACATTTTCCGAATTATTTGTAGTGACTCTATAGCATATTAAACCTAATATTTTTCGCCTGAAATTATTTAAAGAATTATAAAAATATATTTCATTATGATACAGTGAAGTGGCTTGCTAAATACATCGTGTGCGTTACCTCTGCCTTTCGTGACTCCTCGTCCCCTCCTCCCTCGTACGGCGTGTCCCCATCAGAATGCGATATTGCTTTCAAATGTAAAGTACGATATAAGTATATAATGCAATGGTTATAGCACCGTGCTACAAACCTGGTGCCCTCACCCGGTGAGTTCAGTTCCCGGCCACGGCTAACATCAGCGGCGAGTAACACCTGAGCCAGTGATGGCCACTTTCGCCGACCCGCACCGACGAGCTCGTTACGACCGTGCGCAGACATTCCCCGTGAGAGACGCTACTTAGGGAGGCCATCGTTCAGCTGTAGGTTCTCAAACGGCTTTAAGAATTTACATTTTTCCGAATAGTTTGTCAACGTCTCGCCTTCTCCGTGATCTTATTTACTTTGTTATGGATTTTTTTTTACGGAAGGTTGTTTGAAGGGATCTGAATTTACCGAACGCGAAAATCCGCTCGGGCCTCACGTTACAATGGCTGCGTGAGAATTAATTTCCGCGAGTTCCAGCTCCGCAGGTTTCCTCTATAAACGTCGCGGCCGCCGTTAATCCCTCTCGCCCGGCGATGTAGCGCGCCGCTCTGTTACGTCAAATAAACATTCCCGAAATCCGATTGAAAACGTGTAAGTCTGTGAATTGCGCAGCGTGCTCTGGGCATTAATTCTACATCAAGACGACATCGGACTCGTCAAAGTATCGACGAGGCGTTCGTTTGCCGCAATGGAGCGGTTGATTGCAATGGAGATGAATTTCCAAGGGAGCCCAACATTTTTCTAAAACTATTTCGGCGATGCTCTCGTGAGCCGCAAAGTAAATTGCTAAACCTTAACTGTAAAAGTTGTTATCTACTCCACTTTGATTTGTTTACATGTGAGAAAAACATCACATTCCTTGAGGTCTACAACGCTGTTCCCCAGAGCGCTCGTGAATCGCCATCACCACGAGCGTCGAGCGGTCCCACCAGCCTCGAGGTGATGGCGCAGTGATCACAGCCAGGGGTGGTGGCGCGCGGATCCAGCGAGGGTCGGTGCATCGCGGACAGATTTGTGAAGCTTCTGAAGCCGCGGGGTGGCGAGATGTCCCACGGATGGCAGTACAACAAGTGGGTACATACAGCCGTCTGTGCGGACCTCTGAGTGTTTTGACCTTGTATGCGCCATAGGTTAGGTGGCCAAATAAGAGGCAAATTGGCCAAATACCCCAATCCGGATGACAGGGAAAGGTGCAGCGCTACAATTGCTCGCTCACACCATTGCTGGCGGGAGGGCCTCCACGAGGGGAAGCTCATAAGAGCCCCTCTAGAGTGTATTTGGCCTACTCTTCCACGCTGGTCTAATGTCTTGGAAGAGATTGGCGTACCCATACTATACCCCACCACCTGTGACCCGCAGATCGGCTGTGGCGACCCTATTTATATTGCTGTTGGGGAAGGGGGTTAGGGGATATGGGAATGTTGCCCAATTTTTCTCCGCCGCACCGGTAGATGGAAACCCGTGACGTCTAGATTGCAAGTCTACGTGCAGATCGTGACACCGCAGCAGCGTCCCTGCCACGACAGCACCCTCTTGAACAATCCGTGACGCTCGGTGAGGCTTTTCTGGGTAAATAATTAGCATGAGTTGATGAATATAAGGTGATGACAGGTGATGGCGTTCTGTGACGGTACCTCCGATGTACACGCCCGACGTGACTTCGGCGAAGCGCGGCAGGACGTCCCATGGCACCGTGTGCACGTAGGCAAGCAGCGGCATGGGCCGCGCGGGCGCCGAGCCTGTCATGCTGCCGCAGAGCGGGTCCGGCCGAGAGTCGTCGGGTCGCTGGTACACTCCTCGAGTAAGCGCCACGCTTAAAATGCTCGCTTCCGGCAGTAACCCACAAGGAAATACCCAACGCGCATTGTTGCCCGCCGTGTGTTTGGCCAATTACACGATCTTTACCGACACCCCAAATGGTCACGATCAGTTTCCCGAAAAGTGTAAATTTTGTAACTTTTTTGCCTCCTGTTTTAGGCCGAAAAGTTCCGCGCCAGGCCGATACTTAGCCCGGCGGAGATGTTGATCGAGAGGTTGCGTGTGATGGGGCAAAGTGTGGCCATCGTGGAAGAGTAGGCCAAATACCCACTAGATCTCTTGAGCTTCCCTCGAGTGGAAGCCCTCCCACTATCAGTACCACAAGCAGGACATTCTAGGAATCTAGGGCTTTATCATTGCCGAATGTTAAAGAGGAATATATTTAAAAAATACATTTTTGTTTTGTCTTTTCCCCCCACTGTTACCCTAATTGTGCTCCTGGCATCTGAGACAAAATAAGAATCTATTGAGATACGCTTACAGAGAATGGCATCATTTCATGTTAGCAGAGAAATCACAGAGTTGCTCGTAAAATATCTTCAAATGGCCTATCTCCATACAAAAGCCACTGTACTTACTCATACACCCTGCTACAGAGAGAAATATTAATTGCATGACCGTCAGACCGATATTTTTTAATTATCAAAACTCGCTACACTTGAGAACGTGGTTTAATCACCGGCGGCTGTTGGATTTCAACCCATGACTTCGGCAGTGCCGGCCCAGTGCTCTGACCTCTGGAGCATTTCTTGAATATTTCAGAATCTAATATCTCTAATGTTGGAAACACAATGGCAGGAGCTTCTAAAAATATGAAAAACCAAGTCTTGACATTTCAAAATTTTACCTTTGTGAAAATGTTGCTAAAATTGGCTGAGTATCAGGGCTCTGACCAAACAGGGGAAACGAATGTATTGTACGATTTGTGCTTCGAGCTACACAACACTAATCTAGTCATTAATGTAGTCATTAAGTTTTAGAAACTTCTAGTTTGGCAATGGGCATGTAAACACTATGTCACCTTCATCGAGTAGACAATCATCATTGTTTATATCGTCTCCAGGTGGATAATCGTAGGCCACGTAGTTCGACTAAATCATGAAATTTACTCTGCGTCTCGGCTCTTTACTCGCAGTATAATCCATCTCTTAAGCAGCCAATCTACAATTTACAAACAATTCTAATCACTTCCATGCTGCCGCGGTGCAGCAGTAATCAGTGCACCGGATTTGCAATCCAGAGGTCGCCGCTCCAATTCCATCTCCTGGCGCAACAGCTGACACTTCGGTGCCAGGGTTTCAATGCCCCCGACCCCACCACCTCTGTCCACCTGGCAACATTGCATCATAAATGGGTCCAGCACAATCAATCGGCAGGTCGCGTGCGGTGGCGTAAAGCGTGGGACCTCCCAACTCTCCCAAGTTATCCAGTCAGTATGGAGGAAGAGTAAAAGCTCAAATTCCCCGTCTGGGGGGGGGGGGGGGGCTCTCTCTCTCGTGGAGGCCGTACTTGGCAGTGGTGGCTGTGCGCGCCTCTAACCCAGCATTGTGGAAGCAGCATCGAGAGTTGGTGCATCACTGCACAAGTTTTGTGAAACTCCCTTCCCGTAGGCGTCGAGGTGCCACATACCCTGGCTCGCCAGGAAAAGGCGGTACAGCAAGTGGACTAATCACCATCGGTTTCCATCTGTACGGGGATAGAGCGTTGCCCCCTCGTGTGCGTGAGTTTTATCTGCGTACACCGGTTTCGTCCCACTTACATAATAAACGTTCATCAATAATTGGCTGAAAACGCCTTAAAATGAAAACCGAAAATGCTCCACCGCCCTAAAAACGAGTCAGGCGACTCAGCGTGGCTCTCCTGGATAAACAAGTAACACATTTAGTGGACGCGCCTTTTTCAGGACTGCACCTTCAGCTTTGCACCGAATCTCTTTACAATGAGCACAGCTGCAGGTGTTGATTTACCCACCGAATCGATAAACGTTCTCACTTGTACACAAATGAAACCCAAATGGAAAGAAAACCTGGTCTATGCCCCGCAATGGCGTTGTGGGAAGGCGTGGAGAGATGTTATCTGGGGCTGCCTTCGTGGTGCCCGCAGGAAGCACACAGCCTTTTCCTGCGGCAGCCATGTGGCGCGATGCACTCTGACGCACAGCGGTGCCCAAGCTGTTGCGGTTTCCGCAACAGCTACGTGTGGTCAACTGGGGTGCCTATACGTGCCAGGTGCACGGATGTCGAACTTACCTCGTTACGATCGTCACGCAACAACGATGGCCGATTTGAGGACTCGCGGAGGTCCCAAACGATGAGCACCTCAAAGAATCAGAATCAGAATCAGAAAGGGTTTTATTCGCCATGAAAGTTCACACCGATACGGAATTTACTTTGGCAGGATGGTGCATACATTCAACATATAGGAATCTAAAATCTTAAATAAGTTTTAAACAAGTCTTACTATAATAATAAGGGTTCAAAGTCTAACTAACACCAAGGGGCTGAAGTATATAAAATTGAATAAATATCGAATATAAAATAACTTTAAGATATAATTTAAAAATAAAAAATACAAATAGGTTGACATAGTTAATATCGGCAAGGTGTCATTATGTAGATAAAATGTTAAAATCAGTGTAAGCCCTTGGCCTTGTTTAACAGGCCAGCAGCAGATGGGAAGAAACTGTTTTTATGGCGTGAGGTTTTGGTCCTGATGGACCGAAGCCTTCTGCCGGAGGGGAGTAGCTGAAACAGAGAGTGTCCAGGGTGGGAGGAATCGGCCACAATCTTCCTCGCTCGCCTCATGGTCCTTGTCGTGTGCAGGTCCTCGAGGGTTGGTAGATTGCAGGCAATTACCTTCTCAGC